TCTTAGATTATTTAGTATTTTTATGTGCTCAAAATGTTTTCTAGGCATTGATTTTTTTTACTGAGATTGGCCCTTGCCAGGAACTGCTTACCAAACGATAATGTGATAATGTAGTCCCAGGTTTCGCTGCTTAAGTGATCCATACTGAAACTTAAAGTAATACAACTTCAAATTGACAAACTATAGCATTAATATTATGGCTGAATACAATCAGTTATTAATAGATTGGTTATCATTACAATTGGAATCACTGCATTTTGCCACCTATGTAAATGAAAAAATACACTTTAATAATCCTGCATAAAATGAACTTTTATAAGTAGCTTGGACCATTTTGGAAAAAAGGGTTAGATGTCAATTTATTTAAATTGTTTTCCTCAATCGAACTGAATTAACCTTAAAAATACTGTAAGATTAACTTCAGTCATAACTTGGAAGCTTTTTTTTTGTTGATCTTATAATAATAATAATCCTTGCATTTGATATAGCGCTTTTCACGTCTTCTCAACGTCTCAAAGCGCTTCACAGAATACACTGTAAAGTGAATTGACCATATATTTGTGGGCGAAACTTTAAAAAAATCTTAAAAGAATTTACTGAAAACCAGTCTCAAAATTAAGACTGCATTTATGAATTTACTCTGGATGCTCTGAAACACTAATTAGAGTAAATCTCTCTTTGTTGCTTTGACACTGTGCTAAATTTTGTCAGATGTTTTAGTTGTGAAGTCTTTCAGGTTTCCTGAAACCTAGGTCAAATTATAAGATTATCACGGACACCTAATAACAACAGTTCAATTATGTAGAGATGTGTGACTTTGAAAAATGTGAGTATAAAATATTTTAGGTGAATAAATTATTATTTCTAAAATGGTCATTTGCTATAATGTGGTATTTAAAATATTTTACTTAAAACATTGGCATATTTGTTTATTATGTTGAAGAAAAACAATGTTTTTTTAAAAAAAAAACAATTTTCTCATGTGTAGCAATAGTCAGTCAGCACCTGTGCAATAAGATGGTGTTTGGGCACCTTTTGGCAATGTTAGCGCTCATTTTCTACATCGTGTAAGAAGCTACTTTAGAAGAATAAGGCTTTGCCTGAGCTCTTGTCAATAGGCAGCATATACTCTGCTTCAAACGGGCATGGGGTCAACCTGTTTCACTTGCTTCACTATATAATTGCTAGTGATTAGCAATTGTAATCACCAGGTGCTAGGGTCACGATTTGGCTTTCATAATTAGGAAGCTTCTTGAAGAATATTTCTTAGTGCAGTTATAGTGACCACTGCATGTGGTGGCTGGTGATTCAGCTTTTTTCTTTTTAAATGTGGGTAAAATGCATTCATGAATTTTATAACTAACTTTATGGGCTGTGCAGCTGTACTGCCTGATTTATAAAAGATGTAGCAAAACTAATTGAAGCAGAATGTAATCCTCCGATCAACACTTGTGTGAACAATTGTCACTGAGGCGGGGCAATGATTTTTAAAATCCTTCCTTTTGCATAAGGTTGTGATAGGATAAGCTTGCCAAACATGTTCTACCTCATTGCCTTCGCATTCAGATTTCCAGGGATTTCCCTTTTATGTCATGAAAACTGAACAATATCAATTAGCAGTGTACTAATCTCTTCCCATCTTCCACAGCTGAAAAGGTTCTGAAAGAACCCAATAACAAAGAGTCGGTATTAGGTTTTTATGAGCAATTACAGCAGAATTTACAAAATCATTCCCAAGATACTTGATGTTACTATTTTAACAGCTTCACTTTAAATAAATACATTCTCACTTACAATAAACTGTCAATAGCTTAAAACTTGATGAAGTGAGGGGCACCTCATTGAGAATAATTTTTTAAAAATTTTGGATTCACAATTTACAGCACAACAAGTTATTGTGATGGATGCCCTCATTTGCAAAAGGGTAAGTTTCCAACATTGTGATCAGGATGGATCTATACCATATTTAGTGGCACATTGAATGTGAAATCTCCAAGATTAGGTAATTGTGTGAGATATCACATCAAAGTTATTGGGTGAAGAATCAATACATGCAAATAGAAAAACATTAAACTTTGCAGAGCTGTCTTACAGAAGCATCATATTTGAATAATACTTGCCGGATATTGGGCAACATTTTATCACACTAGTTTTTGCTAAAGATGTTTCATGTCTTTTCCAATGCATGACAAAGGAGATGGGAGAATTTGTGGATTAACATGGATTTCAAGTGCCATTAACTAAATTTGATTAATCCCCAAGTGAATTGCTCTCTGTAAGAAAGCAGAGAGAACAGAATGTGGTTCATGCATATTTCAAAGTATTTATTGTAGCTTTTGGATGAAGATCAACTTGAATGTACCTAACCGATGATTATTATTTACCCTTTTCCTTCATTGCAAAAAATGTCCTTAACTTATTTAAAAATCGACGTCAACTGCAAAGGCTTCTGCTTCCTCAAGCTGTGGGTGGTCTCTCATTCTCAAAGAGCAATCCTGCATGTGAAAAAACAGTCACCTGAGCTGATATAAGGCACCTTCATCATACGATACGACAGTCATATCCGTATCTGATATTTTTGAATAAAATAACTAACTGTAAAATTAAGGTATCATAGATACTCACTTATAACCCTTTGCACATTTTAGAAATACTAACAAAACTCTGGTAAAAGTAGACACACAAGTCAATGTAATCCACAATTTGTAGAACAAGCTTCAATTTCAGTACTTCAATTATTGGGGGAGGGGGAAAGGAAGTTACATTGTTCGAACAACCCATAATATATAGATTGTTTGGTGCTTTGTTCCATGCTGCCTAATCTCACAATTTCGAGGGGTTAGCTCATGCCATCAGTTGGAAGCATGAAAGATTCCAACAGAAGATGAGCTGGCATTAGTGCAGAAGATTAGGCAGCAATTTACACAAATGCCTGTTAGTTTGGACATTCTCTGAAATTCCTAAAAAAAATAAGCATCTATAGTGATATGGTGATCAATGTTAGTCACCCAAACATCACTACTTTGTCTATCATAAATGTCAATATCCTACACTTATTAAGCTACTGATGGCATTTTCAGGTGGTCTGTCAGTCCGAATTATAGTTTTGGCTGGACACAAAGCAGGAACTTGGCCAGACTGTGCTCTCAATGCAAGCTATGTGGTTTTAGCTGGTTAAACGCCAACAGTACTTCAACACACACCTACAGGTTCAAGCCTTGGCTCTCTTCAGCCTGTCTCTAATACTTTCCCGAAATGGTTGCACCCCTCCAGGGAGATTGCCTATTTCATTCCAGACCCAAATAAATTTCTATTTGTTGGTGTCATACACATGTGAGACTTTGTTTAGTTTGGAAGCTCTTAAGCATGGGGATTGTGTATGCATGTTTCAGATATCCAGCTGAGCAAAATTAAAGTACATGGAGTTTAGAAATGCTCTTTTATGAATTGCAACGTAAATGAGCTGAAGATTAAAAAGAAAGTTAAGGTGGACAGATGTAGATGTCCTGTAAACTGAAACTAAGAAGGGTTTGGCTCAATGGTTAAATACTGCTACTACAGTGAAAGAGAAAGGAGTCTTATTAATTGGTTTGTAGATAGCAGATCTCAAATCTCCTATCTATTTTCTCAAAACCATCCACAATTTCTAACGAATAGTAAGAAAACACATTTGAACTGTTACGCTTAAATAACCCTGTTATGTTTGGTTTAATCAGCATTGGCTTGTATACTATCTTGTGCAGTTTAATGATTCATTAATATTTTAAGAAACAGTATTTGATTTCAATGAAAGTTTTATGTTAAAATGTTCTCTCCATGACTTGGCAGGATAGAATTCATTTTAGTTATGTTACACCAGCTCTCTCTGGTAAATATACTACTGTAGAGTAAATGCAGCTCCAAGAAAGGCCCTGATGTTTAAGTGTGCACTTCTTTAAGTGATCAGCAATGTGGGTAATCTGAGGCTGTGCTGGCAAAGTAATTTCTGCAGATACCCACTGTTAATATTTTGTTGTAATGTCTTTTTTATTGAATAGCACCACTGGTCTTTGTCACAACACAAGAAATGGAATTCGCTCTCCGATTTCAGGTAGCATGAAAAGAAAGTTAATAAAGGCAGTTTTATTGAAGTCTGACATACCATGATCTTTTCTGATATGATCATTGTTTTTAGTCTGTCTGTGATGTTGGAGCGATGGGTCCCTGTGGATTTTCCCAAATCCAGATTATGCTTCTAAATTCCCTCTTTGTTACCTGATCTGGGATAAAAGCACCATTCCACTCTCAGACTCTGACAAAAGAACCCCTTAGAAGTCATGAATGGGCTATGCAGATATATCAGAACTTTATTATTCAACCAAGGCAGATGTCACTCCTATTTTTAAAAAAGGTAGTAAATGTGACCCAGGAAACTAGAAAGCAGTGAGTTTGATGTCCATTGTGGGTAAAGTTATGGAGACTCTTATTAAAAAAATCATGGAGCATCTGGACAGAAATAAAATGATAAATGATACCCAATATGGGTTTATAGGCGGAAGATCCAGCCAAACTAATTTACTGTGTTTTTTTGACTGTGTGACAAAGGAGTTTGATAAGGGTAAGGCAGTGGATGTTGTATATCTGGATTTCAGTAAGGCCTTTGATACAGTTCCTCATGAAAGGCTGGTACTGAAAATAAGGAAAGCGGGTATCAAAGGAAGTATTTTGCAATGGATATGTAATTGGCTGATCGATAGAACCCAGGTAGTGGCATAGGGAATGTCATCAGGCCGGTAGAATGTTACCAGTGGAATTCCACAGGGGTCTGTTTTGGGACCACTTTTATTTAACATCTTCATAAACGACCTAAAGCTAGGGGTCACAAGCGCAGTAGCTAAAGTTGCAGATGACCCAAAGCTAATAAAGGTGGTATACTGTAAAGATGAACAGGAGAGGTTACAGGAGCATTCTTGAACACATTCGAACATTCTTGGGAATTGGGCAAATCGATGCCAGATAAAATACTTACCTGGCAGGGAAGAGACTTGATCACCAAGGCAGTTCTCCAGGATGAGGCTAACCCATTGCACTTTGGTTATGCTGATGCCTGCGATGTACCCGAATGTGGGATAGTCGATTGCATAATTTGTGGTAATGGTGGACTGTGTTCACGCTCTCCCCTGTAATTATCTGTTTACAAACTGCTGTGTGCAATTGGCTGCTGCGCTTTGCCCACAAAATATACGGTCAATTCACTCTATGGTATATTCTGTGAAGCGTTTTGAGATGTCTTGAAGATGTGATAAGGCGCTAAATCAAACACAATTATTATTATTATTAATACCATGGGATCTTTAACATATGCTGTGCACAAATTGGCTGCCGGGTTTGCCCACGAAACAAACAGTCATACATATTCCACTTTACAATATATTGTGTGAAGTGCTTTAGGACCTCTTCCTGATGTGAAAGACGCTAAACAAAATGCAAGGATTATTTCTTATTATTATTAATGATATTAACAATCTCCTGAAAATAGGATATAAGGATCTTGGTTTAATGTCTCTTCTGATGAATTTATTTGGCAAACAATTTGTACAATGTTTACAAAAAATGGCACACACTTATTTCATATTGTCTACTCTTTCCATCTATTCAGAGTTCCATTTTATCATTTTTTTTCTCTCTTAAGTTGAACCAGAAACTCTGTCCAGTCCTAATAGTACCCTGAGCTGGAATGTGCTCCATAGTATACAAATCTTTTCTTTTGCTTGGAATCAGGCACATGTGATGTGCTTTTTTTGATTGTGAGATAACCTTCTATTGTACTGAGTAGATACACATAACTCAATGGGCCACGTCTCCTGCATATCCCACTAACGCCTGCTTAATCAGCAGAAGGTATTTTAAAAAAAGTGAGCAGCATAAAACATGTTGGTGCTGCCTTAATCATTCAAGAACATGAGAACATAAGAATTTGCTAGATGAAAGAAGGCCGAGGTCCATCTAGTTCGCCTACCACCATCCTAGCAGTCGCTTGACATGTTGTGTCCCAAACTATACACTGTATCCTGAGATATTATAAGTGACTGCACACCTTTGTAAATCCTTTAATATTTTTTCAGGGTTTTTGCTGAGGTAAGAGCTATTCAGTTATTGTCTTTCAGTATGACACAAATGTTTTGTGGGAGGTTTGTAAATGATTAATTCCAGTACTTATTTATTCTCTGAGTTTTCAACATGTGCTGTATGAATGCTAATTTCACATGAGTGCAGTTTTGTTGTGATCCAGTAATACAATTATTAATTCCTTATTGAAAATTTTAATTGAATATTTTCTTGCATTGCCATTATGGACAAACTCACTAACTTCAGGAACTTGTCAATAATGGGATGGCAAGAACTTTTTTTTTTAAAAAAGCGCTCTCAACCTCTCCATTTCCTCAAACTATTGCCCGATCCTTCATTTGCCCTATCATTTCCTAGGTTCTTGAATGTTTTACTGCTCATTCCCCTCTCACCAATACGTGTTCAACTTACTTCAATTTGGCTTCTGACCACCCTAGCCAAAGTCACCATTGACCTTCTGCAAGACTGCAAGTATGGCTCTCAGTCCCTGCCTATCCTCTCTCCTACCTTGAACACTGTTGATCACTCCATTCTCTTCCACTGCTTCCTCAGTGGTCCATCGTCATGGCATCATGTTCTCACGATTCTACTCTTCCTCCCAAAGCCATTTAATTCAGCTCTCATTGGCACCTACTTACCTCTAGCTCCAATACTATTCATCTCCCTGGTTGCTCAATCAGGCTAAACATAAGTGTATGGAAGCTCAGGGTCTTACTGAGATGAAATTCAAACCACAATCCATCAACGGGACTTTCTTCCTCTACCTACAGAACATTTTTCTCCAGTTTTCTTATGTGCTGACTTCACTACAATTACCAAAACACTTAATCATTAATTTGTGATCTCTAGGATAGATTTTCCCAAAGCTGTCCTTGTAATTTCCCTTACTTCATTCTTCACAAACATCAGGTCTCACAAAATCTGCTGCGCATCTTCCATAACTCATTTCCTTTCCAAGTTTCTCTGGATCCCTGTTCCTGATCCCAGTGCATTGACTTAGAGATTGGCTCCAGTTTACTACTCATTTTCCTTTTCCTTTGCTTCACTACTTTAGCTACCATGTCCTGCCCTGAAGATTTTTAAAAATTATTTTACCTTGCTGTTTCTCTCCTGACTTTTAAAAGTCTGTTGCCTTGGAAGTCTTTTCACCTCTGAATGAAAAGGATGTGGGTGTTGCTCATTGACTTAAGCTCATTGACTGAGCTGACACTCTACTAAAGTGCTGTATTGGGAATTACATTTTTGCTTTGAGAAGTTTTGAATATGATAAAGTGCTATAATAATGCATGTTCTTGCTTTCTTAAAAATATCTGAAAGACCTATCTCTCTTATGATGCACTCAGTTACCTTTTCCTACTTGTTTCTTTCTATTCATCTAGTGCATTTTCCTTATTGGTTACTAAGGCTCCAAGACAGTGGGCAGCATGGACCATGGAAACTAATCCCATGTTCAGAAAATAACTCAATTTATTGTCCTATGCCATTCTAACAGTCATCATGAGGAAAATACTTCACAGCATTCCTTAAACGTTAGGATCAATGTAGTCCTCCTGTGAAGGTCTCACCTGTGTAGCGCTCTGGGACGCCACCCTCTGTAAGGCATGCTGTTTAAATGCAAGTTGCTGTTGTTATGTATTGTAATCAAATGGGGGCTGCCCATCTCACTTATTGTACTTGCATGCTGTTTTCGCTTTCACAATCTGATTTGAGTGATGATGTTATCTTTGCTGAAGATTAAATTACAACAACAACAAAATTACATTTATATAGCACCTTTCACATCGGGAGAATGTCCCAAGGTACTGGACAGACAGAGTTACGGACCCGAGCTGAGGGTCGGGGTGGGGAAGGGGGGAGGACAGGGGGTGAAACAGGGAAATTGAAAGCACGGTTGAAGAGGAGGGTCTTCAGGTGGGTCTTGAAGGTAGCAAGGGAGGGGGTGAGACAGAGGGACTGAGGGATGGAGTTCCAGAGGGTGGGCGCAGAGTGGCGGAGGGCCCACCCACCGCTAATGGGGCAAGCAAGGCGGGGGACGTGAAGCAGGATGGAGTCCACTGAGTGGAGGGAGCGAACAGGATGGTAGGGGGTTAGGAGGTCGGAGAGATAGGTGGGAGCAAGACCATGGAGGGATTTGAAGGTGAGGATCCGGATCTTGAACTGTATCCTTTGTGTGATGGGAAGCCAGTGGAGTTGGGCAAGGATGGGGTGATAGTGTTACGGAGCCTAGTGTGGTAGAGGACATGGGCTGCAAAGTTCTGGATGATCTGCAGTCTGTGGAGGGAGTAGTTGGGGAGGCCGACAAGCGGTGAGTTTGCATAGTGGAGCCTCAATGTATTGAAGGCATGTATGAGGGTTTTGGCGGCCTGCGATGTGAGACAGTGTTGAAGCTGGGCAACATTGCGGAGGTGGGGGAAGGCAGAGTGGGTCATGGGGTGAATGTGGGGTAGAAATTATAACATGATTGGGCTACATTTGGTTGTAGAGTTACCATTTTAAGATTTAATGCATTAGGAATTGAATGCAATGAAGCAGAGAAAGCAGAAGGAGCAGCCATCAACATTGTCGTCAGTTTGGTGCCACACTGATTCACTGATCTCCAGTGGCTTGAACATGATCACGGTTCCTGCTTCTGTTCTTACAGGATAGACTTACCTTTAATTGACGGGGTTTGGCTTGTGACCAAAATGATGGTAATATAGGAAGAGGAAAAGGTAAATTTGTGATAGATGATACAAAGTAGTTGCTTAAAATTTCAAGCAGGTTAACCTGGGCACGATTGATTCTTGTGCAAATCCAAGCATTCAGTTTGGTTTTAAGGGAAAAAAAATCAGTTAATACCTAGAAATGTTTGAGTTTTTGGTTTAGGTTGGCATTAATTTAGAACCATGTTGGAAAAAACAAAAATGAATTGACAAATAAATAAGGATTGGTTTATTAATTGATAAATATGGGAACCATGATATCAACGCTAAAACTATTTGGCACCTGCTTCTTAACTTGTAATCTTTCCAAGAGTGATCTGACTGACGTTAAGTTGAATTTGGTAATTAGATGCGGGATACAGTTTCACCATTGCCTTTTTAACAAATATCACTGGTGCCACTGTCCTGACAGTCAGACAACATACAGGGTAAACATGGGACTGTCAAGGAACTTGATAGGGAAGAATAATCAGGCAAGCTACACTTGTTGATTAACTAATCTTGTCTTTTCAGTTGTTTCAGTTGGAATACATGCATTGAACACACCACAAAATGGATCTATTTTTCAACAATATTTTATGTGACCATACTTCATATTATTTAAATTTAGGATTACTTTACTGGGATTAATTCTTATACTGTACTGTGGGAATTCAAGGGTAAAATAACTGATACCAGAACTGCAAGGTTATACCTATCAAGAGACTTGAAAAGAGAAGGGTGAGGGCTGACCTAATAGGGGTCTTTAAAATTATGAAAGGTTTTGATAGGGTAGACATAGAGAAGATGTTTCCACCTATGGGGAGACTAAAACCAGGGGCCATAATTATAAAATAGTCACCAATAAATCAAATAGGCAAGTCAGAAGAAACTTCTTTACCCAGAGAGTGGTGGGAATGTGGAACTTACTACCACAAGGAGTAGTTGAGGCAAATAGCATAGATGCATTTAAGGGGAAGCTAGATAAGTACATGAGGGAGAAAGGGATAGAAGGTTATGCTGATAGGCTTAGTTGAGGAAGGGCAGGAGGAGGCTCAAGCGGAGCATAAACACCAGCATTGACCAGTTGGGCCGAATGGTCTGTTTCTGTGCTGTATATTCTATGTAACTGTTGTGTTGAGTAAAGCAATATTCTCACACATGTTTTTAATGGGCAAAGAAAATGCATATACTATAATAATCCATATATAATCCTTACATTTAAGATAGCGCTTTCGAGACGTCCTGAATATACTGTAAAGTGAATTGAATTTACTGTGGGTGAATTATGGTAGCCAATTGTGCACAGCAGTATCTTACAAACAGTCGCAGTTTGAATAACCAAATTTTTTATTTTTTTATTGGGATTATTA